CAGTTCCTGCCTGAGAGAATTGCATTCCAGGCTAGTTAGGCAACAGTTGGAGGAATCCCCATCATGACTGCTGACCTTGTCTTCAGGTCTCTAACACAAAGACAGTCTCTATGTCATCCTCAGGGCACCTTATAATGGCCTTTGCTACAGCATTAATCTTGAGGTATCTCTGTAAATAGCTATATATACACCAGGGTATATGTGAAGAATTGCTGGTTGCAGTAGTTCTGCTCCCAATTACTTTCCTAAGATCACTGGTTAATTTGCCAGGAAGGGTACCCCTTCTGTTCACAGAAGCCCTGTCCTGGGTGGAGGCACTGCCAACTTCATTATCAAACCCACTCTTCCACTTAGCAAAGGCTCTGGTTATCTTATTTACCTATATGTTTAACCCACTATCCTGTTTTGGGAGGGCCATTTCTGATAACCCTCCCCCCAAAAAAGAGTGCTGCACAGCTAAACACACTTTTGAGATACATAAAGTATATGAGAGCAGTTTTACCTGTAGAATGATTTGTATTTTTGCCCATCCAGTCCGGTTTGCGATCTGACTTTTCTCAACTGTAGAAATACAACCTGGTCACTTATATGTGCTCAGTTTGTAATTGGACAGTGAAGGCACAGTAGCATAACAGTAGTATAACTGATTGGCTCTTAGTGTTGTCCTTCTCTCCTTTTGAAAAGCTTCTTTATATCTGTAGCACCCCTCAAGTTTAGCTAGGGGGAGCTAGTTAATTTTTTTAGGCAGAGGCTATGTAGCAGCCTGGGATGAGTCAACCTTGGATGAGTCAGTCAGGTTACTCTGGGTCAGGGCTGAGGACTCTGCAGGTCAGTTTTTTGATACATCCCCCTGCTCTAAAAGCTGAAGATGTTTTTAGAAGGCAGTGGGTGGGGGCGAGTAGGGGCTTATCTACATATTTAAGGGATCTTGGCCAATCCCCCAGCAGGAGGCTTGGCATGGGGCCAAGATAGCCCTTCAAATATGAAAAGCCTGATCAGCAAGGGGAGTAGTGTGTCAGGTGGAAGGAGTGAAGGCTGGAGTGAGGAGCCTGGGAGGGGGCCCAGGAATGGGGCCTACCTAAAGGCAGGAGCTGGAAAGGATGATCTCTCTATCTCAGCGTCCTCTGAGAGAGGACCACCTGTGGAGCAGGGAAGGAGCCAGGCCAGCATAAGGCCTAAAGGCAGCCACCAACCCACCAAGCTTGCAGGAGTGTGTAATCCTTTACCTCCTGGGCCAGATAAGGGGAGAGGGCAGTCAGGGGAAAAATCCAACTAGCTTCTCATCTGGGGCTGCTTTACTAAGTGGTATTCTGGGTTCCCTTGCCCAGGAATAACCTCAGGCAGCTGGGTGAAGAGGAGAATTCATCTGGGGTATGAGGTGGTACAGCAGAAGGGTTGGGGAGCTCTTCAAAGGAGAGACTTTTTGTCCACAGACTTGTACATGTTCACAGTTCCCTTGAGAATCCCATGCATCCCTAAATCCCGTCCAAGTTAACAACCAAAAAAACAACAAATCCAAACCAAGCTCAAGGACTGTATACTGACTACAGTGTGCAAGATGTGGAAAATGCATGTTGCCTGGCTATGGAGAGCTGTAGGGGGACCCAAACGCAGGGACTCCTAAGGGGGTAGTGCTACATAGGGAATTACAAGATGCTTATACAAGGTTGAAATTAGTTAAATTAAAAATTACTTGAAAGTTCTGTTCAATAAACACATAGTAGCATTAATTAGTGTTTTTTTCTATTCCTGGCTGAATTTCGGCTTTAAACTGCACCTATTTAGGAGAGAAGTCTTATTGAAACTGCCACTGCTGACTTATTTGAGCATGCAAGCTCTGAAGCTGTCAGCGATAATCTTTGCCATCTGTAAAAAGTGAATGCAAAGGCAAAATATTTTATTTTAGTTTTGGATAAATTGGGGAAAGTTTAGATGCTCTGCCACGTTTTCATTGCTGTTTGTCACCCCACTGAGGAGATCACTCTTCACTGTCACTTAAATAGAAAGCCAGAGGAGATATTAAATGCAAGAGTTGTCATGACAGCAAGTAAAGGAAATGGTCTGGTGACAGATGTCTGTTGCACCCTGTGACAATCGCGGCGTCAGACCCCCAGCCCTTCTCACCAACTCTTGACCGAAGGACTAGCCAATCTAAAACTGCGCTGTCACGTGCGTAACAATGCCACGCCCAGTTGTACCCTGCACAAAGATTTTCCAGCTAATGGACTACAATCTATGTACCTGCAGCCTGAGAGCGATTGTTACTGGGTCAGGTTAATTACGCAATTAACCCTTCACACTGCCACCACCGCCTTTTGTACAGAGAAGGAGGAAACTCGCCAATATTAGCAATAACACTATGATGTTGGAATAAGCGTCTGCATACACAATGTCACCGCAGACAGATGTATGCAGAAGTTTAAACACACAGTAGCGCTCTTCAGAGACAGGGATTCTTAGTTTGCATTAAAGAGCTTTAGAAACGGTTCAACGCTTTTCAGAAAACAAGATTTATTACTAAAAAAGTCAAAATGGTGCAATAACAGTATTTACAGAAAAAGATGTAGCCAATATACAGTATGTGTGTATGTATATATATATATATATATATATATATATATATATATAAATACAGAGGGCAATAACACAGCAAAGAGATAACAGAAAGAAGTTTAGAGAGGTAAAGTACTTGCCGTCAGCCTTGGTTTAAGCAGCGTTCAAGTGTCAGAGCAAAAGGGTACCGTTCTCTCAAAGTTTGCTCCAATGTTAAAAGGGAGAATTCTTCAACTTCAACTTACTCAACTCTCTGCTCCAAGCATAACAGACTTTTTTCTAGGCACTCAGCAGGGTGTCTTCTTGAAGCAGAGAACCAATCGCCTCATTTGGGGAGGGTGTTGTAGGCGGGGGACTCAGACTAGAACCAGAATCCCTCCCAAGTTGATACCAGGGCAATAACCTTCCCTGGGTACATGTACCATTCAATCCACTAGCAGATTAATATGCAGAATCACCTGCTGAACGTCTAGATATGAAACATGGCATAGTTCATTATTTCAGCTAGAACTTTATGGCATTCTGCTCTCCTGTAGACTTCAACTAGGGTGTGTAAAATATCAGACGACTTGTATTAAACTGAGCCATCCGAATATACTGTATGCTTTATGTTTATGTAATTATTTCCTACTTTAAGATATAAAATTATATGGAAAAATGGGTTTTTAAATGTGAGTCTGTTTTACGGCTTATCTGGAATGCGTTTGAAGCCCAGTGAAGGACTGGTTTATGGCTTTACAATCCTTTCCAAGCAAGAGTCTCACAGACATACGGGGGCCAGGCTAATTGGGGTTTATAACCATGAAGCTCTCCCACTGTGCCTGATGCCTGTTATCTCTGGCATCATACAGACCACATGTCACTCAATAGAGAGGGAGGGGGGATTGGAGGGAAGCTGATTTGGGAGTAGAAATGATACAAGATGGAGGCCTTTGCCAAAATGGAGGTTCGCATCCATCGCTGTACGTACAGTTGCTACACACCCTCCTAGATAGGTTGCTAAAAAGGCTAGGTAAATGTAGTTTTCTTGGTTCCCCTGTAATCAATGGAGCAGAGTCTGATTGCTTTGGGCTGTTCTAGGCTTCACTGACTGCAGGTTTAACTGTACCCCCCCCCCCCCCCACACACACACACACACCACCTTCTGGTGGATACTAGACTGTAGTGGGTTGAGCAAGGCAAAATAACAATCTGAATATTTATGTTGTCGCAGCCAATCCCTGGCGGAAGGATGCCCATTAGGTAGCTGAGGGGCCTGAAGGGCTTCTGTCCTTTTGAGCAGCCCAGCTGAAGTTCTAAGTGTGCTCATCAAGGTCCCACCTATGCTAAGAGCTTCTGCTAAGGGGCCTTTCTTGCTTTCTTGAATGAATGAAGGGATTTCACTAAGTATCTGGTCTGCAGAGTTCACAGGAGAAGTGTCTGGCTGATATTGGAAGGCACCATCCAAGTATCCAGGGTCATTGTGAGTACAGACCTGAGTGTACAGTCCTAGTGACTGTTGCTATTACTATCTCTGTATGCATCAGGGCTAGAACTTACTTAAGTTGGGTCAGTTCTTATGGTGTGTCAGAATTACTCATTCCCCTAGTTGCTACTAGAGAGACTAAACTAAGAAGCTGTGATAAAGTGAAGCGTGTCCTCCTATTGTTGGTCAGTGTTGCTGAAGTATCCCACAGCTACCTGCACCCTATTAAAGTTCAATTCGCAATAATGCATCAAAAAGATACCCCTAGACTATTCATTGAGCTAGAAAGAGTAACTCTTGCTGTGTGCCTGGCTGCCACTACACCCACTTGGGAGAAGAATCTGGGTCAGTACAGCAGGTCCTTTCAGGCGTAAGCACTACACGTCCAATATGGGATTTCCCCTCACATTAGGGAGATTTGTGTCTACAAACTGGAAGTGATGGGAAATCTCCCTAGCAGGACATGGGCAACAAAAAATAACCCGACAGAAGTATTAACACTTCTTTACTCTATCCAGATCCAAGAAAGAAAAGTTTTGGCTTTACATACCTTGTAACTGTATTTTTAGGGTGATCTATGCTTAGATAAATTTCTAACACCTCAGACTCTCCCAGGAAATCAGGGATGGCAGGAAATTGAAGTATATATTAATGTTATGCCAGAGAGGGCTGAAGGTTAATAGTGGTTAAACCATTAAATAACCTTTGAAGAAGCCCCCCTCAGACTGAGACCACTGCAAACCACACGGCAAGTCATACAGGTGGGGCGTATTATCATCATCCTGTCACTGCTAACAACGTCACTGTAATTGTGAAATACTACAGCTGCTTATTTAAATCGAGCAAGTTCCCTAAACTCACAGTAGGCAGAAAAAAAGGGATTGTGCTTTGAAAGATCTGGTGACCAGATGTTTCAGACAGGCTGAGTTAGATGAGAGAGTTGTTCTTTTGGAAGAAATCCCTCTTAAATTGCTGAAACATGAAAAAAATGATATTCTTCGTTTTGTTCACTCTTCACTTGGACGAAACCTTCGGATGGGGATTCAGGAATGGAATACTGCACAACTCCATCTGGTTAGGTAAGTCGTGTTCTGACATTTTAATGACATGAATGAAAATGTCTCCTCAAGGGTAAAGGGACCTGTGGACCCCCAGATGCTGTGGAACTACAAGTACCAGCAAAAGAGTATATTTCTAGAGCAAGATAAAGGCAGAATCTCATTCAACAAATGGCTATACAATGACAGATTGGAAAACTGCCCTACATGAAATTATATCTAAGCATCAATAGCGACAGCAAGTTCTGTTTTATTTTTAAATAATTCATCTGCCAAACAGAATTTCACTTTACATTGGAAGTCTCAAATTTTTCCAGCACTGCAATACAAATTTACAACTCTGCAATATTCTGATTTTACTTTTTTTTTTAACCTCTTCATTAATTCAAGAAAAAAAAAAAAAATTTACATTGTACACATTTTAGCGGTTTACATGATATTCATACTGGGATTTACTATAATGTTGGATATTTGTATACGATTTGTATCCTGTTTATCCCTTATTATTTATCTTATTAGGTACATCTTTTTCTATGAGCCTACTATATGCTATATATCTATTTAGTATATGTGGTTTATGAGTAGATGCTGGCTCCATTTAAGCTTGGATGTTTATTTATTATATCCTCCATTCTTTTTGGCTTTATATGTGCATTACTGTTGCATTTTTAGTGAGAGTTTTTTTTTATTTTTTTGTTGATATACAAGTTGTTACAGCCACCTAAAGGATACAGCCATCAATAAAGATTCTTTTTTACACCATTTATACAACTGTAATTCACAATAAAGGGGCAGAACATGCTGGAACTTGTAGTATCACATCAGCTAGAGGTTAACATCTATAGAAATAAACTGATGTTTTAAATTCTTCTATCAGTTTATTTTTGCTGATTCTCTATTTCATACATTTCCATTCTTCGTAGCAGTCAGGATCTGATGCTTTGATCTGAATTACAGGTTAGGACACTTTTCTGGGAACTACAATTTTCTTTTTTGTGTTTTTGTTGTCTTCTCTTTCAGGAATTCAGATGACATAGGCAACACTACTGTATATTATTAGTCTTTTTAAGTTTTCTTTTTACCTAAGGAATGTTGTATCAAACTGTATGAGGGTCATTTAAAGTATAGATATAGGCAAAACTATATTTTTTTCAGTTTTTGCATAGAGTGGGGAAAGGTTAGACCCTTTGTCAAATTTTTATTGCTGATTGTGCCCCCATTGGGGAGATTCACCTCCAAATGTCCTAATGACTACTGTCACCACAACTCAAAACTTTACAGCTGTCAACAAAACAAGAGGTGAGTGTAAATCTTCCAATGGGGACACCTGTGACAACAGTCAAAGACAGCCTTTCTCAACTTTTTTCAACAAAGAGGAACCCTTGAAATAATTTTCTGGTCTCTGGGAAACCCTGCTAAAGATTACTATATCTATAATTCATGATACATGAGTCTGATGGTCACTGGGAAGAATGTTCCTTACACTTGTGGTCATTGGGAAGAGATACCCCCTGTACATATAGCTAAAAAGATCAATGGTGTCAGTGGGAACTTAGAGGCAGAAATTGCTCATTGCTCAAGGAAACATTAGCAACCTCTGGAGGATCCCTAGGGTTCCATAGGACCCTGATTCAGAAATCCTGGTCTAAGAGATAAATCTCCCTCACTCTCTGTAATGGCTAGTGGGATCAAACTGATGATCGACCGCTGCCACGCATGTGAGGATGGAACATTTTTTTCAAACGAAATTCCGTGAATGTGTTTTTCTTTCAGAAAAACAATCATACGTATTGTAATGAAATCTGCTTATTACATTTGGGATTTCTTTTAAATATTAGATGCTGATGAAATGAACAAAAATTAGATTACTCAATGGGGTTAATTTACTAGAGGCAAAGAGACTTTGCACTTTTTAAGTTCAGTTGTTACAGAGCTTAGTAAATGGGGGAAGCTCTGCTGGCTTCCATCATCCAATCATGTGCAAGCAAAAATGTTGTTTTTTTAATTTTCCTTGCATGTGATTGGGTATTCCTTTCAAAGTGAAGTTTTACCTGATTTACCAAGCTCTGGAGCAACTGTACTTGAAAATGAGCAGTCTATTTGCCTTTAGTAAATCAACCCAATGATGGCAAGAAAGAAGTCTAATGAACGATTTTTCTGAATTTTTATATAAATGTTTGAATGAAAATCTAACTATGTATGGCAAGCCTATTTATAGTATGCTCAGGCATATCAAGCTGACTGTTCTGCAAGAAATAGGATTGATAAAAAAACTTGTTTGACCACTGTCATTCCTCATAGAGAAGTCAAAAGCAGAGATAACATACTGCAGTTTAATCCTTCTATTTATACCATAGGGTTAAGGTGGCCACAAACCATGGTCTACCAATCTGTTCTCAGCCATACAGGGGGACAATCTAATAGCAGCTACTGTCATTACTATCCACACTTGAGAGTTAAATTATCACCTGGCTGTTCCTTTGTTGTAGAGGTTGGCCAAATGGTATAATGAGATGGTTGAATTCCGCATTTATGTCTGACTATTCATTATTATCTGTGGCTAAATGAAGCTTGCATATTTGTGCCCCAGTCTGCATTTCCTTTGCATAAGAGGATGGAATGGGATTGATTTACAAAACTGGTGCACTCAAGGTCTGGTGCAGCTGTGAATGGTAACCAATCTAACTTCAGCTTGTTCAATTAAGCTTTGGCAATAAAACCTGGAAGCTGGAAGAACCCCCATTGTGTCTGCATATCAAATTACTCTCTTATGTCTAAGAATAAAGAGGATACTGCAACAGCAGTGCCACTGAATAGCTATGTGGCTGACGCATTAATCACAAGACTGGAGAAATAGAATGACAGAATCCTTCAATGAATTAAATTGCTCATACAAAGAAAAACATTCGGCCATTAAGTGATGAATCAGCCAAATGTCGATTGGTGGGTGGCCCTAGCAGCAGCATACAGATCTGAGGATCGAAAGTGCCAGACAGCCGCAGCCATTGTCAGACAGAATACAAAAGCAGGTAATAGAGATGCATCCATCCACTCTGTTTAGCATGGATGGAGGAATTTGCTAGATTTCTTTTGTTAGCCCACAGGCTGAAGGAAAGAAAGCTATGTGTGTTTGGCCAGCTGAAGGCAGTTGACATATGAGTTATTTCAACTGTGTAGTTAGCTATTTGCCAAGAGTTCTCAAAGACGACAGTTGTGCTACACTGCCAATTTACTACACCAATAGTAATCTGTCACTATGATAATATTTATGGTTCAGATAGAAGTGGCTGCCTTTTACATAACCCTTCATTTTTTGAGAAGATATTGTACGCTGTTTAAACACAAGCATGTGCTCATTTGTTGACTTTTCATTTTATGCCCTACTTATAGAAGTGCACAAATAGGGGTATGATCCATAGAATTATGCTGAGTACGCATTGGTAGGTTTAGAATACCGAGAAACAGTGGCCACTGAGGATACCCTGTTCACCAACATGCACTCCACTATATTTTTCTCGGCAGCCAACCTCACCATTACAGCCTATGGAACATTACCATACTGTACTGGCTTATCTATATTCTGTGTAAACCGACTAACGCTGGCCATAGATTAATTGAAATTCAGTTGCTCCAGCAGGGACCGTCTGAATTTCGATCCATCTACGGCCAATCGGCTGCAGCACTGATCAGTGTCCTCCATGCACCTCACTTGTGTGGATGGGGGAATCAGTTAATTTTTCTTTTCAATCAGCCTGCTGGCTGATCAAAGAAAAAAAAAGCATCTATGATCAGCCTGAGATAATATCGATGATACAGTATAGTCAAACACTAGGACACTGGTCTACTGATTAACTTATTCATACTCAACACCAATGTTGCATACAACATGAAACAATTTATTAATAATGCTAATAGTGCTACAATGCTTATTTTCATAATTAAAGTGATTGTAAAGTATGAAACTTTTTCTTTTTTAAAATAAAAACATGTCATACTTACCTGCTCTGTGCAGAGGTTTTTGCACAGAACAGTCCCGATCCTGCTCTTCTTGGTTTACCTACCAGCGCTTCTGGCCTCTGCTCCCTGCTGAGTGCTCCCATTGCAAGCCATATGCTATGGGGGCACTCGTACAGGCTTACACCTGAGCCCCGCTCTGTGTGTCCATTGACATATAGAGCATGGCTTGGCCCCACCCCTTGCTCCCCCCTCACTGGCTGTGCTTGACAGCAGCGGGAGCCAATGCAGAATGGTTTTTTTTACCTTAATACATAGAATGCATTAAGGTAAAAAAAAAAAAATGTCAGCCTTTATAACCACTTTAAAGTAAATTTGTCACAATCCCAAACAATTCAATCAGAGCATACAATAATATTGTGCATAATACACAAGCAAAAGGCTACCTTTAGTAAAAACTGCAAAATGGTCAGTATATTTAAATGACAACACTTTGACATTTCTTGCAGAAGCTGGAAGCAGTAATATGCCAAAAAACAAAAATGTAATATATTGCAGCTTCCAATAATTAGATGTGGTGGCTGCATTAGTTTTTTTTTTAGGCTTTTTACTTTCTGTTTTCACCTGGTGATCTGGCCAGTAACACACCTCTTGTATTATTGGATTATTGGATGAAGGTGCAACAGGGACACCTTTGGACAGCAACATTGTCAGTCTGGGGAAAGGGGAGTGTTAAATCGACTTGCAGATTTAGAGCTGCATGCTCCCGGGTGTCACAATAGATATGTTTTACACTGTACGCTCCCATACATCTGTACGTTCCCATACAGTCATGTGCAAGAGGGCTAAAGAACCAAGTAAGGCTCCAGAAGCAGGAGCGGACAGGACCTGGCTCGACAAGATGTTTTCAGTGAAGGAAACCCCCAATTTTGTATTTTTTAATCTCACGCTTAGTTGACCCAGGTTTGTAGCAGGTTCATGCATGCAGTTTGAATGTTTTCTGCACTGAGGAAAATGAGAGGGGTAATCATATTTGCCATAGTGTGGGCATTTTTCAAGAAGCAGGT